TCCGGCGGCCAGTCTACGGTCTCCGCCAGGCGCCCCGTGAGTGGCACGACACGCTCAGGATGACTCTTGCTGCTCTTGGTTTTGCTCCTTCCACCGCTGACCCTTCTCTGTTTCTACGCACTGACGCTACTCTGCCGCCGTTCTACGTTCTCGTGTACGTAGACGACCTCGTCTTTGCTACTGCTGACACGGAGGCACTCGCCCACGTGAAGTCCGAGCTGCAGAAGAGACACACGTGCACAGACCTGGGTGAGCTGACAAGCTATCTTGGCTTGCAGATCACACGGGACAGAGCACAGCGCACCATTACCTTGACTCAGTCACACATGGTGCAGCAGGTCCTTCAGCGCTTCGGCTTCACCTACTCCTCGCCACAGTCCACTCCTCTGCCTACCGGTCACTCGCTCTCAGCTCCACCTTCGGACGAGTCCGTAGAGCCGAGTGGCCCGTATCCAGAGCTTGTGGGCTGCCTCATGTACCTGATGACTTGCACACGACCTGACCTCGCATACCCTCTCAGCCTTCTGGCTCGCTACGTGGCTCCCGGCAGGCACCGAAAGGTGCACTGGGATGCTGCGAAGAGGGTGTTGCGCTACTTGTGCAATACATCGGGCATGGGGCTCGTGCTTGGAGGACGGGCTCGAGTTGTCCTCACTGGTCACGCTGACGCCTCCTGGGTTGACGACTTGGCTACGCAGCGGTCGTCACAGGGTTACACCTTCAGCCTTGGCTCCGGTTCTGTCTCCTGGCGGTCTACCCGCTCTTCTTCTGTTCTCAGCTCCAGTTGTGAGGCTGAGATCTACGCTGGGGCCATGGCTGCACAGGAGCTTCGCTGGCTCACCTACCTGCTGACCGACTTGGGAGAGGCGCCTCGTTCTCCTCCATTTCTGTACGTCGACAACAAGGCCATGCTGGCCTTATCTCAGGAGCACAGACTGGAGCACAGAACGAAGCACATTGCTCTGCGCTACTTCCTTGCTCGAGAGTTGCAGCAGCGTGGCCAGCTTCGTCTTGCTTACGTGGCCTCTCAGGCCAACACTGCTGATGTTTTCACCAAGGCACTTCAGCCTTGTGATCATCAGCGTTTATGTACTGTGTTAGGCCTTGTACCTACTGTGCCTCACTTGTTGACTTCTTGACTCTGCTTGTACTGTACTCTATATACTTATACCTGCATGCTTACACTTGCTAGGTTGTGTTCACTGTACTGTTTGCTTTCCTTTATATAACTCTGCATGTGAACTGGCCTTATGGCCCTTTGCTTGTGCTCAGACTGTGTGGTGACTTTGTGATCCACCCTGAGCTTGCTTTGCTTTTCTTGACTGGTCTTGTGACCTCTTGTTCTCCCCCACTTTGCCTATGGGGGTGTGTCAAACTTATATCTGCTATAGTCTATTTTGGCTGTAGTGGGGTAGTTCTTAGAGGGTACAACACTTATGTGTTTCCTACTTGTACCCATCTCATTCCTAGTTCATTCATTCTTTCGTCAATTATTCTCACATCCTATCCACTACGATCCTTCACGGATAACAACATAATTCACCTCCCATTGTGGAGTGACTCTTCGCGTAAGCGGTGAGCGTGGACGACCTCGCGATAGACCTTATATTTGACCGACCATTCCGCGTTAGCTAAATTGTCAATAGGCCATCATCTCTCTAGACCGTCATAGTCGACCCAGTAATCGCTACAGGGGTAGAGAATATAGTGCCGGCGCGAGAGGCTGATGTGTGGGAACGCAAACGTGACGAGTTCGGCGAGGCGGACGAGGAGCTGTTGCTCCTAATAACTCATGTGCAGTGGGCGCGTGAGCATCCCCATGCTGAAGCGGACGGTAATTCCACCTCTCCCTGAGCTGGAAACGATAAAGGCGGCGACAACCTCGTCGGCGACGGAGGCACGAGGGTGACGTGCGGAGTGATTTGAGGGCCCAACTGAGATCTGTTGAGCTTGACCATAGTGTCAGAATGTTATATTCCTTACTTTGTGTAGGCTATAGTGGGGTAGCCGATAAGGGGTGCAACACAATTAGGGTTAGTACTTGTACCCAACTTCTGCTCAATGCATTCATTCTCGTTCGTTATTTTGACATGGTATCAGAGCGAAGGTCTCGGGTTCGAATCCCAGTGTGTGCACTTTGGGCATTCCAGTGCAGGGGGGTGTCAGAGGTCCACTGGTGATCCCCGATTGATCCAAGGGAAGGTTTACAGGCTCGTTGTCCTGGGGGGTTATGGGCGCACTGACCCGCTACTTAATAAGCCCTTTTATCCCAATGGTCTAGTGGTTGGGATTCTGACACATAGTACTCTGCCAACCCATGCTTGTCCATGTTGATGTTGGTCAACCGCTGCTCCAGTTGGCTGATGTAAAGGTCGTCGGCCGCCTTCTACGTCCTCATGATGAACTGTCAGGCTTGGAAGTTGGCGTCAGGAAAGGTCGGCAAGGCTTCAACGCCACTCGTATTATCGGCAAGCAGCACCGCAAGATGGCCATGAAAGTCGGCATCTAATCTGCGCAAAATTTCACCTGGCGCTCGATATGTCGTCCTCGTTCGACGTCTCCACAGTATCGTCGGTGGACTTCTTTAGTCACGAACCTCCATCTGCGACCCAATCGCATCTGTCCACATCGTCAGATCATGTCGGCCTTTGAAAAGCTTGAGCACGAGAATCTTGTATGGTGGGAATTTAAGTAGTCGCAAGTCGGGGCGATGCAGACAACTCAAACAGCCGACAAATTCTGTGCCTAAGTCGGCTCGTCTCCACTTTGTCGGGGAAGAGCTGTGTCGAGCGTCAACGTCACCGTGCGAGTTGCCTGCAGCCGCCGATCGTAAGACCTGTGCTTGCTTCCCATCGACGCCCGTCGTCAAGGGACTTTATTCCTCTGGGCTACAACATTATGTGCTAGATGATGAAACTGCCTGGTATAAGTGAGCAGCTCAACGAGGACTCATTGACGAGCTTCAAAATCGAAGATGAGTTAGTGCAGGAGTCTGGGCTGCCTAATGAGCAGCTTCTTCCGCAGGCCAACTACATCGCCCCGGCGCAGCAGAGACATCAGATGCGGAGACGTGAGAAGTCGGGCGGTGGCGGTGGCGGCGGGAAGTCGGTAGCGACAAGTCGGCGAACGTCAACGAGGTGAAAAGACGAAAAATAAAAAATCAACGATCGAGATGGTGGCGGCAAGCCCTGAGAAAGCGGGGAGTGGTTAACGCCAATGCCCTTAACACCTCCAAGTGAAGATATTTCAAATGTGATAAAATGATTATTTGTTCCCTCAAATGTATTGGAAGTGTTCTGGTCGGTGTTTGCGGGTATATTTCCGAAGGAAAAAACTACCACCACATGTGCGAGCACTGGTGAACCGCGCGCTGGTGCTTCTCACACGCTTCAACCCGCGTGATGCTGGTATTTACAGATTCTTTTGCGAAGCCATCACGTGATTCTTGCTAGAGCGAGCCTTTTTATTGGTCGAAGGCAGTGCCATTCAAATGCATTTTTTGCACAACTGTGCAAAGACCATTGACGTAAACGACAATCGGTCTAGGCAACGCTGATGCAGGTTGCACCTTGCGGACGTCACACGATGCCGTTCATTGGCTGTCTCAAGCTTTCACGACTGGAACACTTGGAAGAAAAAGGACACCGACGAGCCAGTTTTCTAGGAGAAGGTGCTGTTTTCACAACTGAGAAGTGGATCCGTTTCAGATTTCATGTCACACTCCGCGCAAGCCCGTCCCATGTCCACGAATAGGGAGGAGTGCTGACAACGATTTAACCCACCATTGTCAATTAGGCCTCCAGTCGCGTGCCTGACACGGTGTGGGACTTGACTCAGCGAAGACATCCTGTTGAGTATGATATGTAAGGCAGTTTCCAACGCATGAACAGTTGCCATCAGGTACATTCACATCGGATAAGCACGTCCAGGTCAGAGGGGGTCCCACGCAGGAAGGTTAGGCGTCCACAAGATTTACGGCCAAACAGAGGTTCTCCCCGTCATAGCCACGCCAATCACTTGACATGCCACGCAAAGGTGATGAATCTACACGAGGTGGTCCTTCGGGCAGAAGTCCACCGTATTGGTCGAAACTTCCGAACCGGAACTTGCCGCCGCTGCGTTGGACTGCCCGAAGCTGCATCTCATCAAGATGAACGCCCCGATTTTGCCGACCGCATCGCGAGGTGGTCCCCTCCCTCGTCAGCTCCGACAGAGCTTGTGCCTCCGCCACGCAACCCTGCGGGGCCCGCCGACGTTGCCCGCATGTGCCACTTCCTGCCGCCAGCAAACTGCACTGCACGCCTTCTCCTCGACACATGCATGCTGATCCGCCCTGGCCTCCCCCGTAAACCTCCCCCCGAAGCTTTAGGTGCTTCACGGCAGCGCGGGCTGTGGCAAATCCAGGCTCCCATATTCCCCGCTCTGCTCCGCTCACGGCCGCCTTTTGCCCATGAATGTACCCCGCCCATCCGTGTCGCGCTTCAAAATCCCCCTTTGATGTGATGTGACGTGACGATCGGCTGGCGGGGGAGCAGAAGAGTGGCTTCAGCGGAGAGCACAGCGCAGCACAGGAGGCCCATCGGGGGCGCGGGGACGAGCGGCGCATTTCGTTTCTTACAAAGCGGCGACTTCCGCATCTGTTGAAGGCAAACAATCGAAAAAGCCCTCCTCTCCCTGCTGAGACATCCGCCAACGCACACTGACAAAAACATTGCACACTCCTGCTTGCCACAACCATCCCCTCCCCCGGCAGCACAATTGTATTTAGGCTCTGCACAATCGCCCTTGTTCTGCATCTTCTGCACTTGGACTCCTTCTTCGAACATTGCATCCTGTATACGCCGCACAGCGATTTCCCACAGTAAAACGTATTCATAGAGTCCACCCAGCCATCTTAGGTGCGCCCGCATCTAGACACCAACGTTGCCGATTTGAGTTTTGGAATCGGGAACTGCGATTTAACGTCTACTCTAGATATATAGAAACTATAATTCCCAGAAATGACGTCTGCCATCACTCTCGTCGCGTCGAACGCAGCCGCTGCTAGCGCGTGCCTGCCGCCAGCGGCGCAGCTCTCCTGGGCGCTCTTCTGCGCCATTCAGAAGTACGCTGCGCCCGCAATGAACGCCGTTGCTTTGACAACCATCGAGAAGAAGACTCCGCCGTCGTCTCCCGCGGCTGCCGATGCGCCCAACAGCATATTCCACCCAGCGCCACTCACATTCTCCCCGCTCCCAGCTCGCTCGAACTCGTCCGCCGTGGAGCTCGGTCGCGCGGTGCTCGCTACTGCGGGAATTGCCCTCCTCCCCGGCGCGGAATCGCCCCGCACTCTCCCCACCCTTGCGGGCTCGTTCAAGCAGTGCGCCATGCGCCCTCCGCGCGTCGTCCTCCCGTCCTCCGCCCGCCCTCCTCTTCCACCGCCCACGCTGGCGGGGTTCGGGGGAGCTGCGTTGGAGCTTACCGGCGCCATCACCAGCCCGCACGAGGACGGCAGCCCGCGTTTCCCAACCGCCGCCCTCTCCCCGCGGACGCTCGGGCCAGCCGTGAGCCACGGATTTCGTCCATCGCGCCGCGAGAGCCTGGCGAAGAAATTTCAAGACTTCAATTCCCGCAGTCACCATGCGCGCGCCGGGCTCACGAATCGCACGTGATCGCGGGCGGATCGGGAGAGCAGCGTCGGCCGACCCGCTCGCTTGGAGGGTACGCAGCGACGGACGGAGAATAAAGTGCCACTCTTAATAGTGGTACTAAGGCGCTTCTACTATCTCTTCTCCTTCATCACTGGGTTCGTTCTCAAGCTTCGGTTTCGGATTCCCCGCCTCCCAGCCTCTTTTTGACGATCGATGGATAGCGGCCTCCCGCCGTGTCGTTCCAGCCGTGGCCTTTTTCGCTTCGAGCTCGCGTCTCCCTTGAAGCAGTGCCACCTCCTCGGCTTCCTCCCTCTACCTCCCGATCGCTATTCTTCTCTCGTCCTCCTCGGGCCACAGTCGAGCCAGCCTGCATATAATGCGAGCGGAATCTGTACAGCGCCCGTTGACTGGCCGGCTTCTATACCGCTCGAAATATATGTACTGTATATTTTCGTAGCGACGATAAGGTGGACCGATCACCGACCCCCCCGGAAATGCACCAGAAGTAGCAGCGGCAGCAGCCTCCGGATAACGACTTCGTGCATGTGCCTGGATGGGATAATTGTTTTATTTCGTGCGACTATTTCAGCCAGGCAATTCGTCATGCTGCTGGAGCGTCGGTCAAGGAGTTTGTACATAGTGTGTAAGGAGTGAGGATGGTGGACTTGTGCGGCTATGCCTACATCGAGCAAGAAGGTTCATGACGCAGTGACGGAGGTGTTAATAACGAGGCATCAGGACAATGGATACGCGCGAGGACATACGGCTAGCTGCGCGAATGGCGGACAGGGCGGTGTACATATCATGGTTTCGCCTTCGCCTCGCCACATTGGGCACAAGGTGCAAGTTCCGTGTTCTCTCCATTCAAGACACGCCAACAATCTATCGCTAGGGACCTCTCCAATCCCCTCTTATGTGTCAACAACCGTTGCCTGAATAATCGGACGGCGGAGATGGTGGTGCGCGTTAGGGCAAGCTAGGATGTGAGCTATCCATCTAGCGGCTAGCGGCTTGTAGCATCTCTTGTACCCCTATCCTTCATATTGAGAAAGCTTGCTTTCTGTTCTTGCAAAGGCAACGGGCTTCATTACAATTGCAGTAATACAACATTCTCGTCCAACTATGGATGGATTATACAGATATACAACTAGGGTGGGTGGGTGGGGAGTGGAACTGCAAAGTTCCGAAATGAAGTCGTTGGTGGAGGCCGAATGGCCTCCAACCCTCGTTATGTACTCGGCGAATTGTAATTCGCCATTGTTTTGCTTCGTGACAGTCAGCTGCGCTTTCAAAATACGCATTTTTAGAAAGTGTTACACACTTTCGAAAAAATTCATATTGAGAAAGCTTGCTTTCTGTTCTTGCAAAGGCAACGGGCTTCATTACAATTGGGTCTTCTGAGACATGTGCAGTTGGGGTGTTGAAGACGTGGCGAGTGTAGTTGCGATTGATGGCCTTGACGAAGTGCCAAAAGAGGTGGCGTTGGTAATCGCGATCTCTATGTCGATGGCGTTCGAAATGTTGTGTGTGCGAAGGTTGCGTTCTGTTAGTGTAGATGTGCGTGTTTGTTGATGCAGCAGAATAGTGGTTGCAATTGGTGGTTCCCAACCAAGGTCTACACACCCAATGGACGGTACAACTTTTATCTTGGGATTTACCATGTGCTCTGCTGTACTCTACGCTTCCAACCGTTTGAGGTTCGGGGCTATCTACAACGTGGATGTATGGGCTGAGTTGGTAGTAGCGGGAGGGTGTGTCCGTCATTTTGGTTAAATAGGTACTTTTTTTTTTTTTTTTTTTTTTTTTTCCACACACGAATTCCTTCTTTAACTCCCAACACCTAAAGCCCATTCAAGTTCTTAACGAGACGCAACTTGTGGTAGCATGCTAGTCGCAACTCCCGTGCTTTTATTTCCATCTCGGGTGCGATCTAAGAGAGTGGGATGAGCATGATGGAAACCAATCCCTTTCTCATTGCCCTTATTTGGAGAGAACATTGAATGCGATGTAGGAGTGTGTGTGAACAACCGTAGTCAAGTCAGATTCAAAATCCATCTTGAGTTGCACTCTACCAACCATTTGTAACCAGGTCACTCCAAACAATTGCTTCCCTGGAAATTGATGGGGCACCAACCAACCTTTGTTTGTCAAAAAATGTTTGAGCCCCTTTTTTTTTTTTTTTTTTTTTGAACTCTTATCATATACGGTTACATCAATAGCCAAGGATGATCCATACTAGCACACACATTGTTCGAAATTCAGCCCATCTTACGGCAAGCCCAACATGGGGACCCTCGGTCCCCTTCCCCCCCTGGGGGGCGGCTCTCAGGCCACACGGGGACCCTCGGTCCCCTTCCCCCCCTGGGGGACGGCTCTCAGGCCACACGGGGACCCTCGGTCCCCTTCCCCCCCTGGGGGACGGCTCTCAGGCCACACGGGGACCCTCGGTCCCCTTCCCCCCCTGGGGGACGGCTCTCAGGCCACACGGGGACCCTCGGTCCCCTTCCCCCCCTGGGGGACGGCTCTCAGGCCACACGGGGACCCTCGGTCCCCTCCCCCCCCTGGGGGACGGCTCTCAGGCCACACGGGGACCCTCGGTCCCCTTCCCCCCCTGGGGGACGGCTCTCAGGCCACACGGGGACCCTCGGTCCCCTTCCCCCCTTGGGGGACGGCTCTCAGGCCACGCGGGGACCCTCGGTCCCCTTCCCCCCCTGGGGGACGGCTCTCAGGCCACGCGGGGACCCTCGGTCCCCTTCCCCCCCTGGGGGACGGCTCTCAGGCCACACGGGGAGACCCTCTGTCCGCTCTTTTTATTGGGAGACGTCCTTGGGTGCGCGTGCAGTTTGATCCTGTAGTCCATGTAATTTCCCCGCGCGACTAGTAGAGCCTTTTATAAAAGTCTTTCCACCACTGTAGTGTTGGGCCTGATTTTCTGCCACCAAGGGATAAGAGGAGCTTATAGATTAATAGAAAATAAACGAAGAGGACATAACGAAAATAAAACTGAAAGAAAATGACTTGCAGCACTTAGGCAACAAATGACGCCCAGTCAAACGACTAAGGCGCTGCAGTGGCAATTTCGTCACTGCCGCGCCAGCGGCCATTTCGTCCATGGCGCGCTAGTGGCGATTTCGCCACTGGCGCACGTGGCAATTTCGCCACATGCGCGCGTGTGGCGATTTCGTCCCTGGCGCGCGCCACTTGCGCCAGTGGCGATTTCGTCCCAATCGCCTGCCACTGGCGCCAGTGGCGATTTCGTCCGTAGCGCGAGCCACTGGCGCCAGTGGCAATTTCGTCACTAGTGCGTGCCACTGGCGATTTCGTCTTTGGCGCGCCTGTTGGCGTTTCGTCCGGCGCACTTCGCTCTCAGTTGAGCGCCCGCTAAGTACAGTCGCACGCGTGATATTGTTGCCCTTCATGAAAATCTATCGCTTGTAGGTGAGTCGTAGTAAGTAGTTCTAGTGACAGAGGAAACTTTCGAGGTGGTTGGACGAGAATGAGTGGAACTGCAAAGTTCCGAAATGAAGTCGTGGGTGGAGGCCGAATGGCCTCCAACCCTCGTTATGTACTCGGCGAATTGTAATTCGCCATTGCTTTGCTTCGTGACAGTCAGCTGCGCTTTCAAAATACGCATTTTTAGAAAGTGTTACACACTTTCGAAAAAATTCATGAAGGATTAGAGACCATGTACTTGTGTTTTTGTACACATTTGTTTCTGTTTCTCGCAGAAGCTTTATAATGAACCCTGTTATATTCTACCAAAAATATTTACCTTCTCGAAATTGACTGACCAAACTTAGCTGACTAAGCCCGTATCTTTGGTTCCGGTCATGAGCACTATTCATTCAACTGTTCGGGTCATCTAGCAAACTGCATACGACTGTTGGGCTGAGAAAATAGCCCTTAGGATCTTTCAAGGCTAAGATCTTGTTGAAGTAGGAATGTTGTAGTTGCGGAAGCGTAATATCAGAGTTGCTGAACCACCTTGTACTGGTGTGTCAGAACAAGATAAGTTGATGATAGCAGAGAGATACAAAGGTTTTATATGATTACAAAGGGATATGAAAGGTTTCTATTTAACTGTTTCTGCTGTTGCGGTTCGATACAGTGACGACTCGGGTAACTGCTCAGTATCGAGTCAGTTATGTGTACTTGCTGTCGCACTTTATTTTTCGTCGAGTCAAAGGTCAGCGACCTTTGACCTTTGCGTAACCTCCAGCTGTTACGGTTGTTGACTCACGTGTTGTTTCGCTGTAGTCCGCTCCGTTTCGTGTCGATGCTTCGATTACTTCAGAAGCGTTAAATTACTTGTTTCCAATTCCAACAGCGACTGGGGTGTTCAATGTGTCCCCCACCAATCATATTGAGCTGCGACCCCATGTTGGGTCTCCCTCTTTAGACGGACGTTTTCTTTCGACTCACGCCCGTCAATGTCCCATATACACCACTAACATGTAACACAATCCAGTACAACTGACGTGACCAGTCTTACCGATACAAGCCCCGAAACCACATCATTCGAAACCACGCTCCATACGCCATGTTTACAAGCACAGGCGGCACCACAGCAAGGCGCCTTTCTCCCACCGCGATGCCAACATAGTGGGCGCCTTGAGAGCGCGGTAAACAGCTCTAGATGGCCGCATGCATCCTTCATCATCGTCAACCAGGTGCTCATACTTTGTGTTGCCTTACACCTATGGCATGAGTACCTTCTCAACTCGTGGTAGCATGTAGTTTCTCTAGCCGCTTTAGAGTGGATATCCACACTCCTCCCTATGGCACATACCGTGGATGAGGAGCGCGTGCTCTGTGAAACCGAGCGCCACGAGAGTCGGAAACGGCGTCGCCAGGCACGGGTCGCAGAATGGGCCGAGGAGATCCGCACGATGTTTGACGAGGAGTTCGAAGATACCTTCCACATTACGCGCGAAGTCCTCGACATCATTGCTGAAAAAATGGCGTTTCCCATGTCTCGTTTTGTCGAAGTGAATGAGATTCCATTGTCGCTTTACTGTCTCATCCCGATTAAATACTTTGCAAGTGCTATGACGTATCACGACATGAGTCTAATGTTTGGACTGCCCAGCGTGTCAAACTAGCAAACGAGAATGAATGAACTATGAAAGAGTTGGGTACAAGTACTAACCCTAATTGGGTTGTACCCCTCTTTCTGTGTTGCCATGGCCACAAGGCCAATTCACATGCAGAGTTAAATAGAAGAGAACAAACAGTACAGTGATCACAGCCTAGCAAGTGTAAACATGCAGGTATATATATACATCACAACACAAGCAAAGTCACGCAGTGAGCAAGTGAGGCAAAGTAGGCACAAGGCTTAAAACAGTACAGAAACGTTGATGATCACCAGACTGAA